GACAAGTGGTGTGTGGGTGCACGCCCAAGATCCGAACCCGGGCCGCCAGCAGCAGAGCATGCGCACTTAACCGCTACGCCACGGGGCTGGCCCATAAATTTCCTTTTATTCTTGGTGCACAATAACAATATTTCGCACCAAAGATGATTTAGGAAGATAAGTCTGTCCTAATTTTTCATACATATGACTTTACTTCAAGGAGCACTCTCACTTCTGACTAAAAATCAGTAAAAGCTGATCTGTCTGCTGCTCCCAAAAAGCTGAGGTATGAACACACTCCAGGCCACAGACAGCCTTTCACGCCTGACTCCCACCTTCCCAGGAAGGTTCATTATTAGTTTTAAATGTACTTCTGGTCTGGCATTCATCTCTGACAGGCACAGTGCTGGTGCCCAGCTACCTGGCAGAGCTGACTTTCCTGGGAGGAACCTCCCACAAACTGTCATTGCTCAGAGAGCAGGAGCAGAGTGGGCTATCGGAACGGTCCCATCAGCCGCTGTCTGAGCCCTGAGTCAGCCGTCCCTGGGAACCACTCTCAGGCCTGTAACACCAAACCCTTAGCCCTCAGGCCAGTTAACTATTTACCAAGGAATCACCACACTGTAGAGACCCAGGTGTGCTCCAGGGAGCGAGCCCTAGCGGAGAGGTCAACATCCTCTCCCGGCACTGTGACTCAGGAAGCTTCCAAGGACAGCAAGTCTGCAGCAGAGGAAGGGTGTTCCTTGGAAGCAAGTCAATCTTCACACAAAAATGGGCAAGGAGGCACCATCACTGGTCACACCACGTCCACGGTGCCAGCCGGTGCCACCGGCATGGAAAGCTCTAAAGTCAACCAGATGGGTGGTAACCTAGGTTGCAGAGAAAGCACCAGACACGGTTCACGCAGGAGCTCTACCCGCACACAAGGATCATCGTGTGCTTCACATACTTCAACAAACTAGAAAATCACTTTTCAGGTTTTTATCTTGCAGTAGACTTAAATATTTATTCAGCTCATTATTTATTCATTTGAGTTGTCTCCAATTATTGTAGCCATGCCTGGTAGTCCCTCTCCCTGCTCTCCATCGCTAAAGGGATTGACCACATTTCCCATCACCAGCCCCCATCTGGGGGATTCACGGCTGCTGTAAACAGCTGCTCTGGCTGAGACTGGGCGCAGTGTTCTGACCCCAAACCTATTTGTGTTTCTGGTTTTAAGCTCTAAGGAGTACATCACACACACACACACACACACACACTTTAAGTGCAGGAATTTAGTTCGCTAACTTTACAGAGATTTTTTATTTCTATATTCGGTTACTCAGAAGAAGCCAAGTTTTATTTTAAAGTTCACAATATTTCTCTAGGCCCTTCGACCCTCTGACGTGCCATCAAGTCTCACTTATTCAGACTTTGTGATTAGAAAGCACACGCACATGCTCATCCAGAGTCCATGATGCTGTACAAGCACTGTCTCACTACATCACTTCGTTCAGTCAGATTCGTCCTGTCCTATAAGACTGTTTATGCCTTTTCACAGTGATCATACTGCCAATATCTCACAGTGAGATAATGCTTTACAGTTTACAGGGACGATATTCCACTTGATCCTCACAAACACATAGTGAAGTAGGCATTTATTAATGAAGAAACTGATTCTCAAAGTTAAGTGGCATGCCCAGGGACACAGTTAGGCTGTGGCAAATTCAGAACCAAAAGCAGCTCCTCTGACTTGCACACCTGTGCTTCTCTCCCTGTCCCACGTTTCTTCACCAGACATCTGTGCTTACGAAATTCACCACGTCTTCAGGCTGCTGCTTACACCACACTCTCATCCAGGCCCAAGGGATTCTGACCCTGGCTGAGGCCCAGAGGACGCTGTTGCTGGCTGGGCTCACCTATAGCCAACATCTCTCTATCACCCACCATGTGCTAGTAGTTAATTATACTGAATGCCACTGAATTGGTCACTAAAAATGCTTAAAATGGTAAAGTATATGTTATGTATATTTTGCCACATAGATATGAACTAAACCAGTCTTCACTCATATTTCCATATCTCTCATACAAATATATCTCATTTCTCAATACTTAACAACTACATATTTTAGAAATGGTCTCCAACCTACAGATTATTATGTGTGAAACCCACAAAGCTATGCCATGTGCCCTGCAAATGAGAGGAGAAAGACACGAAAGCACCATAAAAACCATAAATGATGGAGTAAAATCTAGGGCATTAATCTGCAATAAGCATCGCAATATCCTTCTTTGAACACCTCTAAAAATAATCAACTTACTACATCTTAAAACAGGACTCCAACACCCTCCCCTCCCGTGCTTATGACAGAATTTGACAACTAGTTAGAGCACTTTTCCTTCTGACCTCGAAATTCAACCCAGATTTCTCAACACACTCCTCTAGGTGGCTGGACACTGTTAAAAAAAAAATGCAGTTGCATCCAACAGAAAACTCATTTGCTATCCTTGTCTCTCCACTTTGAGCAAACATAAATTTTACAAAGAAATCTCTATCATCAAGGCCCATGGGATTCCAATCTTGGCTACAAAGTTGATTCTATCAAGCCAACCCGGGGCTTCTTGTGGATCCTAACTCTCGGCAGAGCCCTAGTCTACACAGCCTTCTCTAGGTTTGACCATTCTCCACATCACTTTTTTTTTTTTTAGGAGCTTAGGAGGTAATGTGTATATTTGAAAAAACAGTGAAATGGGAGTTAGAAAACATGAACTAAAGCCATTCTTCTACCAGGGTATAAAGTTGGGGGAAATCAGTGCTTTATTTTCTCATGTGTAAGATTAGGGGTTCCAACGTTGTTTGGTTGGTTTGTTGTGTTAGCTGTAGAACATTCCAATCTACAAATCTCTCAAGGCCATGTAAAAACAGAAGTGCTCTAGAACCGCTCTGACTGAAGGGAGGCTGGGGGCCTGAGTGGGCCCAGTGGAGGCTGCTGTGTTGGGGGAGGGAGCCCCAGGGAGACAGCTGAAAACCAGTCACCGGGACACAAGCCTGTGGGTGTCCAGCTCCAACCCTTACTAGAAATGCTCAACAAAACCTGCAGATAAAAGCGACTGTGTGTTGCAAACAAGGGTCAGGATTAGATTCTTAAAAATAATTTTGCTAAAAAAACCCAATTACGCTATCAAACTGAAACAGGACTTCAGCTTTTTTCTTAGTCAATCATTTAAATAAGCACTCACAGGGACCTCTCAGGAGTCCCAAAAGATGGGGAAAATGAACTAAAAGCATAGAATCTGCTTTCTTTGTCATTACAGAGGCTGCTAGTATTTTTCTTTGCATTTATTTTACTTATTTTTGGCAGCTTCATTGAGATATAATTGACATAAAACATTGTGTAAGTTTAAGGAGTACAAGGTGATGATTTGATTTTACATACATAGTGTGAAACGATTATGACACTAAGGTTAGTGAGCACATCCATCATCTTACATAGTCACCATCTGTGTCGGGGGGAGTGCGAACATTTAAGATCTACTCTCTTAGCAACTTTCAAGTATACAATACAGTATTGTTAACTATAGTCACAAGCATTTTTCAATCTAAATAGCTCACATTACACTGGCACTGGTGTCAGTGTAACTCAGTGGATTTCTGGTGAGAATACATTTACCTAGAACTTAAAAATTCCTGCCCTGTGACTTTTTTCCTCATAAATGTTACCTCGAGAAGCTCATCCTCTGGCTGTAGAAGGTTCAGCGTATCAACAGGACCACCTGGCGCAATCGAAGAGATGTAATGGTGTCCATCAAAGGAATCCACTTCCATGCCAAGCCTCAAGGTGTGGATGGGCAGCAGCTGTAGCAATAATACCAAAAAACGACAAGGACACGTCCAACTGTCAATCCTCCATCAGGAATTATTTTGACATGAAAGCCCCACCTCTTGAATCCGATGACCAAAATCCCCAGAGGACAATGGCCAGAAAACCAGCCTCAAGTAAGACACGAAGTCACTTGTCTTCCTGTTCCCACTCCTCTTTTCCTCTCAGATTCCCCAGGAATGGAGACACAGATGTGCAAAGTCCTGCCTTCAATTCTAAGCAACAGGCACCCCACACTTCCTATAGTTCCCAATATGTATTGTCTATTTCATTTTCCTGCAGGCTTCCCACGCCCCAGAACATTCTAGCTCCTCTTTACTATCTAACTTACTTCCACTCACACTTCAATACCAAGGCAGGGTCACTTCCAGGAAGCCCTTCCTGATATCTGAGTTGACGCACCTCTGCCTGGGGCACAAGAGCGCCCCGTGCACCCCTCTATCACAGCTCACAACACACTGTGCTTAAAATTCCGACTTTCTTGGCAGTCTGTATCTTTTCTGCTTGAGTGCAGTCTGTATCTTTTCTCTCCATAGCCTCAGGTCCTAGAACAGTACCAGGCACTAAAAATGGCTCATTAAATGTTATCTGAACCAATCTGTGAAAGACGGTACCTCACTCAAGATGTCCTTTTCCACGTCACCAACTTAAGTGAGAACAATTTCCAATCTGGGGGCAGGCAGGGGTGTGTAATAAGGAAGGCAATCATTATTCCACTCTAGGATTGATGCTGTTGGTTAAAAGGATTCACATGGGCTCAGATATGAGTTAAGGGTTAAGAATCTCTAGCCAATGTCAATGTAAAGAGACAAGCGTCTTAGTGTTGTTGGCTGTAAAGGTCAAAGGCGTGCACCAAACTCCGTTCTCTTTTACAGATGGAGCTCATGGTTTCTCACTGTGGCTGTATAAACTCAAATATGTAAGTGGTGCTAATATAACTTATATTTCCTGTATCAACAGTCTGTTCATCTACCTGTATACTTGATAAGAAGAAAGCCCTACCCACAGTGGCAACGCCTCCACAACATGGTTATTTCCTATTCTCTGTGATCGCATCTCTCCGAGTCGTCACCTCCCCTTCGTCATCTGCTCTGAGTCCCTCAAATCCCACAGGCCTTGCTTCAGACACCACCCGGGGCTTGTTTCCGTCCCCCTACAGACACACAGACAACTGTGAAGTGGCAAGCAGTCCAGCTGACTAAGACCTCAGTGACCTAACACAGGCCTGAGGCACCTCTAGTCCTGGGCTAATCTTCCAACAATGATCATTCTTGACCTCCAGGCTCTTCAGGTCTACAGCCGTCTCTGTAGACGGCTAGGGGCTAGGAGGCCCCAGCGTTGAGCAAGGTGAAATCTGTTTCCACTCTCGTTCCCTCCCTGTGACGTCTTTACTTCTCGCTGCCCCCATCTCATTCTCCCGTCCAGTCGTTGTACCAAATCATGGACCTTGCCAGGAGGAGACACTGGGGTCACTCTCTCCAGTAATAAAGGGTGACTCAAAACTCACAGGGAAATGTTTCTGTGATAAGTTTCCCCGCCCGCCTCTGCCAACTCTCCTCCTTCCTTTGTTTGTGAGCCCAACACCAGGGCAGAGAGTGGTCAGTGGGTCCACCTGCAGGTCATCTCCAGCGGTGCACTGGCGCCTGCTTATGAGAGCAAATAGTTCAATTCTCAGGGATTTTGCAAGCCAGTTCTTAAATATAGCCATTACAAAAAACTAAATTATACAGTTACAATTAAATAAATAGTATTAAAAATAAATGTAATAAGTACTCAAAATCCATCACTTTCTAATTATTTTTACCACGTTATGTATGTTCTTGAAATGACTTCTATCTGTCATATACGTATGGTGGAAATACTCCCTAAGAACTTGGAGGATCCCAAAGGGGTGGGCACCTGAGAGAGACAGATGAGACGGTTGATTTATTTAGCTGCTAAACGAGCTGGGCTGGCGATTAAGCTGTCCTGCTCCCGCGCAGAAACCTGCAACAGTGAAGTGCTTTGTGAATCGCTTCCCAACTCAAGAGTCCGGTGACATCACTTTGGTAGCTTGAAGCCTACCGTGCAGGGACTATTACGCCACAGAGATCTGTGAATGCTACAGATTGGGGCTGCTCTTTTTTTTGAGAGCTAGACACTTGCCAGCATACCCCTGATCTACAGCCTCGTCTGGACATCATATCCAGCATGTGTTTATGGGTGTAAACTACGTGCACGGATTTGAGTCATGAGCTGGAATTATAGGGTGAATTAAAGAAACGGTCTCAATCCCCATGGCACTAACATCTAGAGTGGCGGATAGGCAATAAGCAAGCAAGAGAGCAAGCAGATCCAAGCAAACGAGTAAACAATCCACCAACAGTTGTGAAAAACAAAGTTACAACTGTGACGAGTGCTGTGAAGGAACCGAGCAGGGTCATGATCTCAGACACACCCAGGGATGCCATCTAGAGAGCTGGTCAGGGTAGGTTCTGCAGAGATGGGGACATTTAAGGTGAGACTGAAGGATACGAATGCGTTGGCCCTAGAAGAGTCTGCTAGGAGACTGCTTGTGGAAAGTGAGTGAAAAGCAGCATTGCTCAAGTTTTGGTTTGAGCGACTGGGTAGACGGTGGTAGCAATTTCTGCATAGAAATAAGTGTCCAAATTAAAACGAAGACATTGCTGTGCAGAGAGAGATCTTCGTGACTTACATAGTAACATGCCCTATAAAAAATGAAAGGACCAAGGAGGGAACTGATTCCAGTCTGCCTTCCAGCACCCCTCGATAACCCTGCAGGGTAGACCCCGTTCCCACATCCAAGGAACAGCTGAAGTTAGGAGAGGCTGGAGCACGGAGGGGCAGCAGAACCCACCCGTGGACTCCCCCCACTGGATACGGCACTGTGCCCTTCCAGGGTCTCCCCCCAGATATCTGTAAACATCACACGCTCCCCGGAAACTCAAACCTCGAACAGAACACCCATACCCTATCTCCAATCACGCTCGACAAATAAACCAGAAACGATGTTTACGAAACCTGTCAATCTGAAAGGCCCACCTAATATCAGTTCTGGATCTTGATTTAGATATCAATCTAAATCAGATTGCAGCTGGGTTTCTGAGACTTCACGTTAACATGGCTACAGGCTTCTCCACGGGGGCAGGACTGTTTAATTACCTGTCCCAGCTGCATTTAGCAGCTAAACAAATCAGCCGTCTCACCTGTCGCTCTCAGCCCTCCACCCCTTCGGGGTTCTGAGTTCTTAGGGAGGGAGCAGAGTGCTAAAACGACAAGAGCAGGGGCGAGAGAGAGATGACTGACGCCTTCACACGCACATTGCATGTCATGCTCAGTCAACGCACTTTGCAAGGGGTCCTATTTAAGGTGACAAAGTTAATGAGCAGCAGAATTTTCATGATCCTGATATGACAAGTGAAAGATACAAGAAAATGAATCCAAGGACAATGCGACCACTGTGTGATTTACTGTCAGAGCTAAAATGATGGAGATCAAATGACACCAAGAACCAGCGGCCTCCAACGCATGAGGGGGACACCTGTCACGAAGCAAACCACAGCTCATTCGTTTCGTTACAAGCTTTACTTTAGGATCCAAAAACAAGATATCAAAATGCTCGAGTGGGAACATAAATGATGTTGCTTCGGGGGGAAGAAAAACTTCTGGAAAAGAATAGATATGTCCATGGGATGGGGAGGATGCTCCAAGAAAGCTGAACTAAAAACAGAACAGAATGAACCCCACAATCGGTTCTCATAACCCACACCTGCACGCACTTGCCATGGGTTATGAGAACCACACACACACACACACACAGTCGGAAGATATTAAAGAGCCATTTATGTTTTAAGATTGGGGGAAGAGTTACTAAATTTACCACAAATAAAAAACAAACTTTGCAAAAATGAGGCTCTAGCTTTTAAACTAATGGTGAAACACAGCATAATGGCCTCCGAAGTCAGGTGTATTCACTCAGAGGTTATGAAGACAATCAATCAACCCATTACAGCTTGATTTATGTTAGTTTTTCTCATCCATCTAAAATTTTAATTCTGAATGTTCAAACACTACACACTACATACTCTCCTGTGCAGAAATATACTGAAGGTTCTCTTCAGTTACCCGACACCCAGGCCAGGTATCAGCAGCCGTTCATTTTAGATATCACTCATGTCACCTGTCTGGCCCACCTGAGATTTGAGCTTTTGACACCTGATGTCACACTTTGCACAGATGACCCTTTCTCTACCTTGCTCATGGCATTTCCTCCCCCTAGAACACCCACTGTTCTTATTTCTCCAAACCCAGTCTTCAGAGTGTATTCAAACGCCATCCTCCCAATGAGCCCTGCTCCTCTGTCTTGAGGAAGTCATACCTCCTCCCATGAATACACAGAAGGCACTGTGGCAAGACCTGAACAAGAATTCTCCGTGGAGGGAGGCAAGACAGGGACCACAATTTCCTTTAGGGACCTCACCCCAAACCTACAGGATCAGAATATTGGTCAGGAGGAACAGAACAGGGCACGTGTATTTTGAAAAAGCTCCTCTGATGTTTCTGTGGGCCACCTGCCCTAGCAGGTAACCACTGTTAACTGCAATTATCTGATTCTGTGTGTTCTTCACTCAAAAAGAGATCAGCAAAATGTGCAATTACACACTTGGGAACTGGTGACAGTGGTGGGTGCCTCTGGGAGCAGAACAGGGGGCACGATGGGAGGGAAGCTTATTTTTTGCAGTTCATACTTCTTCGGCTTTCATTTCGTCTTTCCACATATTATCTATTCAAAAGAAAAAAGAAAAGAGCAAAGAATGGCACAGACTCAGAAGCCAGATAACCTCTGACCTGTTTCCTAATTTACGAGCTGCATATGATCTTCGGCAAGTCACCTCACCTGCCCGACACTCAGTTTCCACCTATTAAAAGTAGAAAAGAGGCAACAGCGGCTGGCCAATAAGGTGAATGTGAGAAA